CCGCAAAAATGATTATTGATAGCCCGTAATTCACCTTCACCAGTTCCCTCGGCAAGTTTACTAATGCGACTGGTCTCTTGCTCGACAAATTCATCAGGACCATCCCAATTGATCCTCAGCTTATCATCACTCGCCGTATGTTGTTCTTGCGTCCTTGAACATGCGCTTTTGATAATATTCCTCAACACAATGTGTTCATATGATCCCTCAAATTGAGGTTGGCCTAGAAATCCCAACCTTTTGAGGATCGCTCAGGGACCGGAATGGAATGAATTTATATGTCCATCCCAATGATCGTTCTTCCCCGTGCCAGCCTCAACGCAAACAATGACCATAAAAGATTTAGTAAAGTTAATTTTCAATCAAAGGAAGCATGCAAATAATAACCCACAAAACCAAAAATATATCCCGAGAAATGTGAAATGATCGGAATAACAAAGCCATAAACTTGCCAATTCTCGGTCATTCCGTCTTCGAAAGATGCTTTCAGCTGAAATCGACAAGGAACCTTTAATGTATTGGTACAAATATTACGCAAGAAATTTTACATCGACACAACTTGAACGTGTTTTGTCGAACATAAATTAACGCAGTTTATTGTATGATGAAGACGACAGCCACTTGTGCCCAGCCCGTTCGAAATTCAGGTGAGTCTCTCTCTCTCNAAAACTGAAGTGAAGCATCTATGCTGAGTTTTCTATTAGCGAAAGAGTTGATTATTAAAAGGTTTTGGTGATAAGCAAAGAGAACGATATCACTGATGATGAGGACTGCAGAAGCGTGTTGCACTCATCCTTTGAATACACTCATTTCGAACGTATATGAATAGCAATCGGCTGATAACGATAGTTGTTAGGATCAACCGATATTGTTGAGCAGAACGATGAATGGAGACAATATCACCATGGCACGATGTGTGCAGTGGTGAAAATAAAACTAGTTCATATATCAAACAGATAAGATCACTGTGATAGGAATTAAATTTTTTTCCATTATGATGAAGATTTTTTCCATTTTCCATTTCCATTATGGAAAATAAAATTTTTCATCACTGCAATAAAATTTTTTTTTCCATTTTCCATCAAGAAATTTATCAAATAAGATCAAACATTTCCATTTTTGCATTATGATCGTACCAAAAGATTATGATGAACAACAATTTTTCTGTTGGAATTCAAAAGCTCAGAAGTTCAATGTTCAAACAAAGGCTGTAATATATTTTTATAATGTTCCCAACAAAAGCTAATTGCATCTCTGATAAAGGCATCTTATCAAACAAACTTTATGACTAATCAAATGCTATTTCAATCATGTAATAACATCTCTGAACACATTTGCAGCCAAATTTGCTCTTTTCGATTTCGACTTGCGATGCCGTTCAACTGCTTCTTATGATTTCTGAGAGCATTGCAATGAAGAAGAAATTGCTTGGCTTATCAATATTAACATCAAGAGTAATCAAAAGATGCGCTTTTTCAAGCGCACAGAACATAAGAATCTTAGATTAAGATAACATGGAGTTAGCTAGAGCACCTGGATGCACACAGCTAATCTGAAGAGATCTATCTGGAGAATATGCCATATCGTGCTATCGTTGGATAACGGGCCCTCGTTAACTATGCAGCATTAGCTATTTTGATTTCTTGGCCTTTTTGACAGGTTAGCCTTTCCTATTTCTTTGAAATCCGCATAAATATGCGCCAAAGAAATGATGAAAAAATCAATTGTTTCGAGTGTTCTTGATAATTAATCTGTCGATAATGATAACACGCTAGGTATCGTATAGCGGACTAAAAAGCACAGTAGAAAATGTATCGCCATGTGAATAAGAAAGAATTTAAAAATTATGTCAGAAAGAGTTTAAATACAGAAATGTGAATTACTACAAAGAATTAAAAATGCAGAAATGTGAATTTAAAAAGATTATTTACAGATCGAAAATGAATTTTTTTCAAAGTATTTGTTGACAACATTATGACAAACCTTTTTTCCTGCAGAATGGAGTTTAGACAGTGAATCACTTGACTGCCTCCATCAAAAAACAACTGCATCGCTGATAAAATATTTTTACAAACGAACGTTATCATCTATCGAATGCCTCTTCCATCTTTAAATCAATGAATATTTATCTGAAAGTGATTATGTATTGAATAGGGACATGTGGAAGGAATGCAAATGAATGGAATGGATAAAAATAAAAATGAAATGAGCAAAGTCCAGTCAAACGATCTCCCAGTCATATTTGGCCACTTGAATCTCAGACAGCTTGTCGNGTACAAATATGAGGAACAAGAATTGTCAAACTTTTCACTATGTAAACTCAGAATCTGCCTATCCGATGATGTTAAAAAATTATGAAGTTTTCAATTTCAGCCGATCATACAATATGGTTTTGTTGAACCTTCCTGAGGAGACCATCCAGAGAGTATGTCAAATCCAGAGAATGTTTTCATAACGTGGATCTACCTCGCTTATGGAATCTTGCACCTTTCAGAATGCTCAGGTTCCGTTAGGCATTGATAACAAAGTGTTGAATATCGATCTGCCTAAATTCGAGCTTACCTTTGGATAATGTTAAGAAAACCATTAATGGAAACTGCAATATAGTGCTTCTGAAATCTATTTCTCTAGAAATGTGCAATTTTCATTGAACATTCCAATAATTTCGCATCGTTTGTATATTTTATTAAAGATCAGTAAAACGAATTACGTGCATATTTTTTATCCGTGATTATTGCAGATGTTTACTGCAAGATATGCAGCAAACTAATCGATTGGCTACGTTCATAATACACTCATACAATTCCAAATGGCATCATCTTAATTCCCCATGCAAGTATAGTTGCTATCGTTTGCTACTGACAGTAAAAATATTTGAAAAATTTCATTGAAAATCGGTTTTCAGTTTCCAGAGTAAGCAAGTTGAATTCCCAACCAATTTGTTCACGTTAGGGTTTGCACGGATTAAAGTTCTGACCCCGAT